AACAGCCTGGTGCAGGGGGTGGGCTTACTAACTGCTTGTGGAAAGAACAAGGAACTTCCTGGGTGCAGGGTAGACAGACAAGTGAGAAACAATGGGAAGAGATGGCAGCAATGAGTGAGCTCCATAATTAAGGTTGGAAATAGCTACCTGTCACCAGGATGGATAGGAAAGGGTTGAATACAGTAAATAGGCTAAAGAATTTTCAAACAGCAGAACTCAGCAAAAGACCAAGATGTGCAGGGCCTGCGAGGTGATGAATCCTCTCAGGAAGCCTGTGATGAATTTGTCTGGAGGGTTGAAAGACTGGTTATAAGGGACAGCAGGTGAACATCCTCTTTGCTAGCTTTGAAAATCTTTACTTGCCTTTAATTTCTTGTTCTCCTCCAAGAAGAGATCAGGGGATTTCAACAGGTGCAAAGGCCTAAGCCTTGAAGAAACAGAGCTACTACCAAGAAAAGGAAGCTAAAATGAGGAATTCATTTTAGGAGAGACTGTCAGCAGAATGAACAGAATAGGCAGGGTGGGGTTGAACATCACAAGAGGGATGGCATCTACAGGAAAGCAGCAAGAATAATGCAGGCCCTGAGAACTCATAGTATGTTGGCCAAAGAGAAAAGGGTGAGAAAGAATCCCAGAGTTCTCAAGTCATAGATTTTTCACAGCATGGGCTATGCCTTGGGTTCTGGTCCACACAGAACAAACACACAGAAAGCAAAGATAAAACGTTTCCAAGCCTAAGTATTTGAACCAATTAGAAATGGCAGACTCAAAAAAAAATGGCAGACTCAAGACCATGGCTCAGCTAAACAGGATGAGCATTTCATGGTGTGACTTTGGGATCTGGACTGACAGAGTATTTCTATGATTATTACATGGGGTTCAAGGCCTTAGGCAAATCTCAATTTTTACTTTAAAAGATACACTTTATCAGGAGTTTAAGAACATCTATAAATACTTGTTAACTAAGAAATAACTATAGCTTGAAATTGAATGCAAAATAAATATATTTCTCATTAACTATATGCAGAGCTTTAGGGACTAGTATTCAGTGAGGGTAGGGTGACAAAAATAACTTCAGAGGATGGGGTGGAAAGGTGCTGGTGGCTCATGCTTGTAATCTTAATTACTCTGGAGTTTGAGATCTGGAGGATTGAGGTTTGACGCTATCTCAGGCTGAAATACTCAGTTAACTATAAAATAATCACCCCCCAACAGGTTGCAAGCATAGCTCAAATGGTAGCAGTCGAGCAAGTGAGCAGCCCTGAATTCAAATCCCAGTTCTTTGGGTAGCTGATAGAGAGTTTGGATTCCCAAGGGCAAAGTCATCTTTGCATGCACAAACACATTTTTTGCAGATATTTATGATTTTATAGTATATATTGTAAATATGGTATGTATACAGTGTAAATATTTACAGTATATAGACAGTATGTAAGAATACACATACATAATGTATATATACATATACTGTATATACATTTAATGGTATGTGTGTATATATACACTATATATACTTTATGTATACTGTAAAATATATGTATACTGTAGAATGGTAAAATATATACTGTAAAATGGTGAATATACACACGTATAAGGCAATATAAGAAACTGTTATTTGCAATAATGGACTAGTTAACTTTTCTTTGTACTGCAGCTTGAACTCAAGAGTTTTTCCTGTCAAGGCTGGTACTCTATCTCTTGAGCCACACCTCCACTTTCAGCTTTTTGATGATTAATTGGAGGTAAGAATCCCATGGACTTCAAACCTCAATAATCAGATCTCAGCCTTCTGAGTAGTTAGAATTACATCTGTGAGCCATTAGTAACTGGCTAATTATTATTTTTTAAATAAAACATTACTGTTTAAATCGTAAACAGATTTTTTTCCTCAGGATCAGTCTGAAGAATAATTATCCAGAAGAATTGTTACCCTAATGAGTTAATTCTGTTACTAAATTTGTTCTCTTCAGCATTGAAATAACTTCCATAGAATCCTTGTGACCTGTGGCCACATTTTTTCCTCTCAAATGAAAAATACGGCAAATGATATTTATTGTATTTTGTACAAAGAAATGTAGTATGTTCTTTTGTATAAACACCAAAAGATCTGTAGTCATCTCTGGAAAGAAAAGAAATTGCTATTAACTATGAAAGTAAAATATCGGTGGCTAACTAAAAGCATTATACTAGGCACTTTGAAAGTATTGTCTCATAATCTATTTATTTTGGTGGCACTGGGATTTGACTCAGGACTTCATGTTTGTTAGGCAAGTACTCTACCACTTGAGGCATGACCCTAGCTGTCTCACAAATTTTTACAGTGATTCTACAAAGGAATTGGTAACATGGACAGATTTACTCATAAGGAAAAAAGATGACTTAAGATCTAGAGATGTTAAGTCACCTGCCCAATGTGACAAAGTCTTTGAATGGAGAGTGTCATGGTCACAATCCAGGCTCCTGATCTTACCCTAAGGGTCAGCAAACATTTTCTGTCAAGTGCCAGAAAACAAAACAAAACAAAACATAATAAAAATAGGGTTTTGTGGTCAATATGGTCTTTATCACAACGATTCAACTTTGTCATTGTGGTGCCATGGCATCCATACACAATGCATAAACATATAGCCATAGATGTGTTAGAACAAAATTTGACTTATGGAACATGAAATTTGCATTTCACATAGTTTTCAAGAAACATTCATCTTTTCATTCCTTCCCAATCATTCTAAAAAGTAAAAATCACTGGGTAAACTTATATACAAAACAAAGGGTACAGAAATCAACAACCGTGACAAAAGGGAATAAACCAAAGAAAAAAAAAGAACCACAAACAGTACAATAAAAAAACAAACCCTCTTGTTTCCATTTCTTGGAGTTCATTTCGATAAGCATCATTTTATATGATTTATGCACATAGCAATCAAACCCTTGTGATCCTCTCCCTAAGAATATCCTCCTTTGTTCTCACTGTGTGAATGTTTAGAGTGCTGTTTAATTAATCATGTCCAAGTGTCATGATTTGTCTTTTATTATCCATTGGGTTTACTTGTAAATTTATAGGCACATCTTAATTATTATAAATGAGGGAAACCATGCAACCTATGTTTCTTTGGGTCTGACTTACTTAGTATATTTTTTTCCATTTCCTTACAAATGGGGCAGTGTCATTCTTTCTGATACAAGCATATAATTCAATGGTATATATTTACCACATTTTCTTGATCCATTTATCCACTGAGGGGCATCTGGGTTGATTCCATATCTTAACTATGGTAAACAATACTGCAATGAATATAGTTGTGCTGGTGGCTATTCTGTACCCTTTGTCTTGTATATAAGTTTATCTGATTTGGGGAGAAGAGAAGTACAAAAATGGTGGGACAAAGGGTGAACAAATTCAGCAGTGATACTCACTAGACAATATGTTGGAAATGAACTATACAACTTGGGAGAGGGGGAGAGAAGTTGGGAGGGGAAAAACTGGGAGAGAATGACACTTCAAAAAGAAATGTACTCATTTCCTGACTTATGGAACTGTAATTCCTCTGTATATTGTAAAAAATAAAATTTACATTTTTTTTAAACAACAACAACAACAACAAACCCTACTGGATATGGTGGCTCACACCTATGATCCTAGCTACTCAGGAGACTGGGATCTGATGACTGAGGTTGAAGCCAGCTCAAGAAGGAAAGTCTACAAGACTCTTACCTCCTCTAATTAAGCAGCAAAAGTGGCTCAAGTGGCAGAGTGCCAGCTTTAAGCAGAAAAAGCTAAAAGTTCCTTCCTAGGCCTTGAATTCACACAAAAATCAACTAACCAGCCAATCAACCAATCAATGGTAAAGTCATTCTTAGCTAATAGGCCATTTTTTAAAAGAGGAGCAGGCTGCATTTTTTAATTGTGAAAATACCGTACAGAGGGGTTACAATTACATGGGCAAGGTAATGGGTACATTTCTTATCAACTTTGTTGCCTCCTCCTTTGTTTCCCCTTCCCTTCCCTGCCTTTCCCATTCCTCCCATTTGCCCCCCCCCCGCCCTGCCAAAGTTGCCAAAGTTGTAAAGTTTTTCGACATAAAGACTTGCAGTGGGTCCATCTGTATCCCTATTTACACAATTTGTTTTTTCCCTTCACCTTCACAAATTATACCAACATCAAATACAATGAACACAGGGGCTATACCATGGGGGAGGGACATAAAAAGCAACAAAGAAATCATCTTATAAATATGTTAGAAACAATCGCAAGAAAGAAAAAAAACATTTGAATACTCATCTTGGTGGGAGTGTAAACTTGTTCAACCACTTTGGAAAGCAGTATGGAGGTTCCTCAAAAGACTCCACCTAGAGCTCCCCTATGACCCAGCAATCCCACTTTTGGGCATTTACCCAAATGATCACAAACAAGATCATACTAAAGCTACCAGCATTATTCACCATAGCTAAGATATGGAGCCAACCCAGATGCCCCTCAGTAGATGAATGGATCAAGAAAATGTGGTATATCTACACAATGGAATTCTATGCCTCCATCAGAAAGAATGACATTGCCCCATTTGTTAGGAAATGGAAAGACTTGGAAAAAATTATATTAAGTGAAGTAAGCCAGGCCCAAAGAAACATAGGTCCCATGGTTTCCCTTATAGCTAGTATAAGTCTGAGACAAGCAGGCAGTATTTTTTTCTCACAGTGCCATGTGCTGCCCTCCTGCTACCCTCCAGCTCCCATCATGTGCTGGTTTCCTTAGGAGCCAGAGGCATGTGAAGTCTAAAACCTGCAAGGGCATTATCTGAGTAGTTCGGAAACACAACTGTAAGGAAAAACCTAAGAGAAATGGTTGTGACCCCACCTGACCCCTGATTGCCACTTGAAACAGTTTTCATTCTTTCAGTCTTCAATCTTCTACTGAAACAGACATTGATTCAAGTTGACTTGAAACCAGCAGAAATTCTGGGCAGGACTTCCCAATCATAAAGTCATTGTGCCTTCCTTACCTGCAGGGTTTGGCTGAAGCGCTTTAAGGGTGTGGCCTTCACTGGTGGGATGAGGTTTGCTAGTGATGTGACTCTGGAAAGGGGTTTAACCCGTTTATTACTAGGTTCCTGTAGGGGAGAGGGAGAGAGGGAGAGAGGGAGAGAGAGAATGAATATATGTCAAGGTCAATTCAGAACAAAAGCAACTCTATTATACAATCTCATCCCACAACATCAGCTGCTGGCTGTACATCCCCCACTTAAGGAATGTAAATGGGCTCTTTTCTCACTCCAGCTCCACAGACAGGATCTGACTTAGGAGTAGAGAGGAAAAAATGACAGATGTGGTCAGAGGCAATTCTGTCAGGACAGAAGAAGCCCTGGGACCTGCCAACCTTTAATTTGGAAGCTTCCGCTTTGTTCAATCATTCTTTCCACCCCAGTAGAGAAAAGTGACCTCTGATTTCCCCTCCAATGACCTTGCCAGGCACTGACAAGTCTTCCACTGCTTCTGGTTTCATCCTTTAAAACACCTTGCCCCCCCTTGTCTGAAGTCACTTTTCCTTTATGCAATGGCTTTTCTAAAGCACAAATATTATTTTTAATCCAATAAACTAAATTTTTTTCTTTAAAAACTGGGATAAGAAAGTACCCTTGTAATCTACAGTGCACTTCAAATGTACATATTAATATCCATAAATTAAAAATCTGAAAGCAAAAGAAACCATACAAAAAATCAATGCTTTCTATACTATTTATAGACTCTAATTTTGAAAATCACTCTGTAGAAAGTATTTGTACATCTGCAAGTTACTCTGAAATTGACTGATGGGTGAGAGGAAGACTACTTGTTCCAATGACTGCAGACAAGAATTACATAAATAAAAACAACAAGCTATGGAAAGAAAGAGATGACAGACACAACAGTTTACAAAAGACAAAAGACAAAGAGTTACCCTTGTCTTCCTAAGCTCCATCTGACCTGTTGTAGCTTCTGAGTGGCACATGAAAACACCAAATTTGGATGGAAAAAGCCCAAAGCAGACAATTGTGGCCAACCTCAAGCATTTCCTGATGCAGCACCTAGATGCTCATCTTTCCTTCTCATCCATTGCTCTCAAATTCTGTTGAGAGAACTCTCAAGTTCCAGTTCTTCAGGCCATCCCTGCAGAGCATTTGGAGCATAGCAGGTGCTTGGAAAAATCCTTGATGACTCCAGAATTCTACTGGGATGCTCTCATGTCTTAGTATGCTCTTGCCAGTCTCAGAAATTAGAAGCCATCTCTGAAATAGACTGTCCCCAAGTTCGCTGGCATTCAAATAGAATTTAAACTTACATAAAAAAGCAGCACACACACACACACACACACACACACACACACACACACACACACACACACACACACACACACAAATCCCCAGTATGGCTAGGAGTCACTTCGTGATCTCTCAAAGCAGTCTATCACTTTTCTAAAACGAGAAATTGACTCCAGGCTGCAGCAAACTCTCTGGATCCTGTGATAAGCTGAACAGAAAGAAAACTCTCAGAATACCAGGAAGGCTCAGTTCCAAAATGCAAGGGATAAGTCGCCCAAGGTGAGTCGCTGAATTACAGATAAAAGTGCTGAAAAGAAAGCTCCAATAGCCCTTCTGCTGTGTCTTTCAGGATGCGCTGCCCAGTGTGTGGATCCCGAGCATCTGCACCCACAGAGGATTTGGAAGAAAAAAAATCACGTCACAGCTGCACCCTTGTCGTACTGAATCCACACGTGCGCATGCGCACACACAGCCTCTTAGCATCCCCTGAATTTCCCCAAATGGCTCCTGCTTTGGTGTGGAAATACCAAGGCAGTGATAGCTCTACCTTTGATAGCATAAGCTACGCTGCAGCAAGTGACTCCCTGGAGGGAAAAAGGACTTGGTATCAGATAATCCCATATGCACTTCCGAGCCCAGAGACTCTGAGCCTCATTTTAATGGCTAAAGCTGCTAACGCACAAATTTCTGTATCAGAATGGGAAGGTTGAAGGGCAAACACCAGCTGAGTTCTCTTGCTTAGGAGGGGGCAGGGAGCTCTGTACACTTGGCAGGCTGTGGGATGAACCAGCTCCCTTCCACTTGCTGTGTCATCTGTTCTAGGGTTCTGCTGACTTTGCTGCCCATTTTACATGACCTAATAGGCAGAGCATTATCCCCACAGCCCTAAGAAATAGTTTCAATCCAAAAACCAGCTCTCTTACAGTTTAAGAACTTTAAAAGGGCTTGCCAAAGGCATTGCTCATATGTATGTAAACATCAGACTGCTCTCCAGTAATCTAACATTACCATGTAATGAATAGTTGAGTCAGAAGCCATTGCTATGTGATTTAGTGTTACAATTCAGCAATGCAGCCAGGTGTTAGGTTCAAAACCATAACTCTTACAGGCTATTGGATCTAGAAGAGTGGGGTGGGGAAGCATCTATGACTATTCAAAGGAGAAGAATGAATTATGGTGTCCTTCTTGAGGGCGTTGGTGAGAATAAGAGATTAAAAAACAATTCCTAGCCTAATTAGAATTTTCTTTTCCATTTACTCAGTCTGTCTCCAGCTACATTTTACTGTTGTCTAAAGAGCCCTCAGGGAAAATGTTTCCAAATTCTAGTTCAATACTCTACTGAGAACTAGCAAAGACAAAATCAGGGATGCTTTCAAGCTTTGCAGAGAAATGTTAGAATACAACTTGCAGAGGGTTCCTAGTCTAAAACCTCTGCTGTCAGACCAAGCTGGGCAAGGTCAATGCTAAACCCTGTTTTGAGTATACACAACATCTCAGGCACATCAACTTAAATGTTTTTTGTTTTTTTTTTTTGCCGATCGTGGACCTGAACTCTGGGCCTAGGCGCTGTCCCTCAGCTCTTCAGCTCAAGGCAAGTGCTCTACCGCTTGAGCCACAACACCACTTCCGGCTTTTTCTGTTTATGTGGTGCTGAGGAATCGAACCCAGGGCCTCAGGCATGCAAGGCAAGCACTCTACCACTGAGCCACCTTCCCAACCCAGGCACATCAACTTAAGAGAGGGCAGGAGGAGGTATCTCTAAAGAAAGTGGAAAAGGCAATAAGCATTCCATGTAAACAAAAATTTTTGAATAACAATTGATTGTTCCCTGTTTTCTAAGCTTCATAACTTTTTTGTTTTTCTTGTCTTATTGCACTAGCTATGACCCCTGTATGTATATTGTTAAAGCCAAGACAGTAAGTACATTAGTCTAATTCTTGATTCTAAAGTAATTTAATCTTTATATAATGTTCTTGCCAAGAGCAGGGGGATGAAACACCCTTTATCAAACAGAGAAAGTCCCCTTCCATACCAGGTTTACTGTGAATTCACAATGACTTCTATTGACTAATTTTGTTTGTTTATTTTTTGGGTCGGTCTTGAGGCCTGAACTCTGGGCCTGGGCGATGTCCCTCAGCTCTTCAGCTCAAGGCTAGCGCTCTATCACTTGAGCCATAGCGCCACTTCTGGCTTTTTTCTTTTTGCTTATGTGGTGCTGAGGAATCGAACCCAGGGCCTCAGGCATGCAAGGCAAGTGCTCTACCACTGAGCCACCTTCCCAGCCCCAGGAAAATGATTTTAAAAAAGAGAGAGAGAGAAGGAAATAAAGAGATGGAGGAAGGAAAAGAGAATAAAGATACCTTTTCATCCAGAGGATCTGATTTCACAATTTAAAATATCTCTTAGACTAAGTTATAAGCAATTAGAAATATAGCACTTTATGTACTTTTATTCTTAATTCATCTTTTTTCTTTTTGGTGCCAGTCCTAGGGCTTGGGCCTGGGCACTGTCCCTGAATTTTTTTTGCTTATGTCTAGTGGTCTACCACTTGAGCCACAGCTCCATTTTTAGCTTTTTGGTGATTAATTGGAAATAAAAGTCTCACAGATTTTACTGCCTGGCCAGCTTCAAACTGAGACCCTTAGATCTCAGCCTACTGAATAGTTAAGATTACAGGTGTGAGCTACTGGTGCTTGGCAATTTTTAATACAACTTTTAAAAAAGTAAATGGATTTTCATCTTTCCTCACTAGGGAACATAATGACTCTTATCTAATCCTTGTTCTTCTCCATGAGAGGCAAAAGCTAAAGCAGATTGCATGATATAAGAAAATGCCTGTAATATCAATATAACATAGCACTTTTTTTTTTTGGTATGGGTCTTGAACTCTGTCCCTCAGCTCTTCAGCTCAAGGCTAGTGTTCTACCACTTGAGCCACAGTGCCACTTCTAGTTTTCTGGTGGTTTATTGGAGATAAAAGTTTCACAGATTGGGAGCCAGTAGCTCACACCTGTAATCCTAGCTACTCAGGAGGCTGACATCTGAGGATTGTGGTTCAAAGCTGGCCTGGGCAGGAAAGTCCAGAGTTCAAGCCCCATGACTGACCAAAAGAAAAAAGAAAAAAGTTTCACAGCCTTTCCTTCCCAGGCTGGATTTGAACCCTGATTCCAGATCTCAGCCTCCTGAGCAGCTAGGTTTACAGGTGTGAACCACCAGCACCCAGCCCTAGCACATTTTGTTTCTCTCCAAAAATAGGGCCATAGCCCAGTACTGGTAGCTTATGCTTGTACATAGCTACTCAGAGGTTGAGATCTGAGGATTGTGGTTTAAAGCCACTAAACTACAACAAACCAGAAGTGAAACCCCAGGACCAGCATCAAAAAATAAAAAATAAAATACAGAATGGGCCATTAAAATAGAAGTGATATACAAAAACCTATCACTCATCTTTCTGTACTTCATTTTTGTATCCAGAGTGTGGTTAGAAGCAGTGCAAAGATGATATGCATCATATCAGCTGCTCTGAGAGTCTGCTTTCACTGAGCCTCAGAAATGGCTAAGAAGCCCTTTCAACATGTGGAAATAGAAGGGAGACACCTGGTAAGGCTCTAGATGGCTTTCATCAGCCTCATGTTAAACAGAAAGTTATACTGTTATAGTGACTGTGAAACTCCAGCCTAAGTAAATGATAAGAATGAATGAATACTGGTCACAGGAACTTGTTTCAGTGTTTGACATTACTCCTCCAACATCCCTACAAGTTAACTTTCAGATACCCACTTTAAAAGAGGCAAAACTGAAGGACTGAGTAG